TAACGGCAAGGCATTTATTGCATGTAAAGTCATTCTCTTCCATAGATCTCATACGGGAGTGTGTGTTCAGTAGCATATTTACGGTGGTGGCATCAACAGATAGTAAAACTATCCAGGAGGATTAAGAGTACCTGGTTATGGGAGCAAGTTGTCCAGAAGAAGTGTCTTTAAAACAAGAAACCCTGAATTCATCTTTGCACAAATAGCAATTCATGTGTCGGCTGCTGTTTGTTGTAAAGACTCTGCTTCTGAAGTCTTGTGATGTAACCTCAATGTCCCTGATCATTTGAACAAAAAATGTCTTGTTTCATGGTTGGGTTCCATAGTTCATGACAAATATGACCTAACTGTATCCTAAAAAAAGTAGGGTTGAAGGGAAAGCAACATTTATTTTTAATTCCACGTATTTTCAGCTTTTATAATTGTTTTGCATGGCCTCATTCAGAAATATTGAATGCTTGGGATTGGGATTACTGTTTGACGCTCTAGATGTTGTGCTTATAGATCCTCATTCTCTGTCAAGCTACTCCAAAACTAAAAAATCTTGGTTTCCTGCGTGGCAAGCAAATTCAAAGCTGAAAAGCAAGAAGAGATTTCCTTCCTTTCCCCCTCAGTATTTTTCTACTGTATTGACACTGCATTTGACAAATAACATTAAATAACCCTCAAGACTGTATCAGCTACCCGGTCTTAGTAATGAGGGGAAAATCAGGCAAGCCAGACCAAGATATGACTGGTTGGGAATCAAAACAAAATTGGCAGTCTTATCAAAAACCATCCTCATCTCCGTTTTCTCTCTCGGCTGCTGGGTGTTGCGTTCAGTCCATTGATTAATGTGTCCCTGCTTAGCGCAGGCTGCTAGGCTGTGACGCTTGCAGGGAGGCAGCTTGCTGTCTTTGCACAGCCCTGAGGCTTGACCGGCTGCCTGTACGAGCCGGGGCTGCTCCAACGGGAGAAGGCGGATGAAGGAGGTGGATGGAGCAGGCTGGCGAGCGTTGCTTTGCCACCTCCTCCGTGCTGGCTCCAGCTAGCTACAAGTGTGCAAACATTTGAGGTAACCTTGGATCTCTGGCACTGTTGCCTCTGCTTATCAGCAACCTGTTGGGCAATAAGGATGTGCAGCAATAGCTGCGTTTACCTAGAGGTTAAAAGAACTGGTGCTGTTCTCCACCCAAAACAGTAATAGGATGGTTTTGTGACAGAGTGAAACCAAACTCTGGTACAACTTCGGTCTCATCTGACCTGGGGCAAACGATTCCTGTCCCTGCCAAGGCTGCCCCGCGGCAGCATTTCCCAGCCCCTGCTAACCCTCCTTCCACCATGGTGACTGACCGGGATCAGCAGCTCCCCAAGCAGATATTTTGTTTTTACATTAACTTCCATGAACCTCACAGAGACACCTCATGCTGTCATGCCTCAGTGGCAGTAATTCAATGCACAATAAAGAAAAAGGTAAATCTACGAAAGGGCTGCCAGCCATTTCCTTTTGTCAGTGTACAAAATTCTTCAAAGGTAGTGATATCTAATTACTAAGTAGCAAGATGCAACAAGTCTGCAATAATGTACAGCATATTATAATGTCTCAAGTGACATGAGAAGCATGAAGTGAGATACTGTGGCCTTTCTGACACAGGAAAAATACTAGTTAAGGTAGCTGAATGCAGTTTTTCACCACATTCCAAGGAACACTTGGTAGATGGATGTTGGAAATAGGCATTTTTCATAATAATCCCATGTTTGAAATGTCCTGACCTTAGAAATATAGTATAAAATTAGTTCCAGGAGAAGAAACCTAGCAAAGGTAACAGATGCTTGTTTCCTTTATCAGAATCCCTCAGTTATGAAAACGTGACAAATAAATAGATAATACTGCTAGGTTGAGCTGAATTAACATATGTTTAAAATGAATGAAAAATATGTCCCTTTCCCAGTTAGAAAAAAACCACACAGTACAGGTACTCAAAAAATGAAATACATCTCTGGCTTTGAAATGATTGTTGTCTTTCTACAGAGCTTCTTGAAAATGTCATGTGAGATTAGATCTGTACACCGTTGTGTTGGTAAGCATATGAACCCCCTGCAAAGGGCGGTCTTCGTTCCAAGAGCTTACAGTCTCAGGCAAAGTTTTCAAAGACAACGGCTCATTTGTGATACCTTTTAAAAAGATCTTACTTTCAGAAAGTGCTGGGTAGGTACTGTTAGAAAACCAGGGTCCATAGAGAAGTCTCCAGCTGAGCACCAAAAATTATACACGTAACAAGGAAGAATAAGTGCTTCTAAAACCCTGGCGTCAAAAGAAATAGTGAGAAGAGAAGAAACAGGCTAGATCACCACTAGACCCTCAGTTTACTTGCTCTAAATGCAGAGCTTAAGAGAATTACAATTTCTCCCTTGGTTCATGTCACCAGTTATGTCCAGACTGGCTCTGCTAAGTCTCCTGCATGGCTCGAAGAGGTTGCACTCCCTCTGTGATGTGGATGGAGCTCACGTTGGGACCAGTCCCCATTTCTCCTTGTTCACGGGTTTCTTTCTGAAGGGCCGGCTGGCTCATTTCAAACTTCAGCATGAGTACAAGCCAATAGCTGAGACAATGTGGATGACCGGGGAATTTCAGCACATGTGCAGTCCTGAGGCCTGACCTGATATAATTAGCCAGTTTACCCATTTTATTTTAGTCCTGCAACTCTGTGGCTAGGCAAGGTATTTTCCATTGCTTGAGAGACCTCTTCCAGTTTTCCCTTCTTTGTGGTGGACGAGCTATTTAACCTCAGAAAAAGTCCTGCCTCTCCTTTGTGAGGCAAGCCTGTCTCTGTTGATGCTACACAGATGGAAGGTATCTTCCAGTTCACCTGGAATCAAACACTTTTGAAGTGAGGTACCAGTTTGCCTCTCTCCAAGTTTAAAACCTCCCCCAAATTTCCCCTTTATCTTCATACCTGCTTAACGTCGCCATTGCTTTATCTTCTGTCCTGTGGGATGCGGTCAGTTATCTGTCCAGACCATCTGAAGGCTCAGAACCTTCCCATCCATTCTTCCAAGGAATAAAACAGTTGCTGGGTCCCAAATGTGCATCTTTCTTGGGCCACTACTGACGTGGGTATCTCAGGTAGTAGATGATGGTAGGTGGTGGTGGGATCATGGCACTAAAGAACCTTGAGAATAAAGGCAAGGCAGTTGTAAAAACAAAAATCAAAAAGTAGCACCGTAATCAGGTGAATATGCCCACGTAAGGAAAGAAATAGCTAAGGAGACTGGTTGTTACTGTTCCTCTATTTCATAGGCTGTATTTAGACTGAGGGATAAAGTGCTCATAGCAGGGCGTGGGTTTTTTTTAAATCTTATTCAGCATTCTTCCAGCACCTGCTGGTTTAACATCCCATCCTTTCCCTGCTTGATCAGACCTTCATGTCCATTTCTGCAACAGTTTGGGGTTGGAAGAGGCAAATATGGACAAACTGACAGCTTGGCAGAGCCAGTCAGCTTGCACCCCGCAGAGAAGAGCCTGTTGGGCATGATTTTGAAGGAGTGAGAAGCAGAAATCCACTGCCAGCCTGAGTTTCAGCTGATGTGAATGCTGCCTTGGCAGCATCAGTATCCCATTAGCTTCACAATTTGGAATCTGGCCCAAAAAAAACAACGATCCAGCTCTTCCCACACATACAGACGTGTACATTCATGCGAGAAGCAGGACATCAGCTGGAAAGGGTGCAGAGCCCACCCCAGTGAGTCCCATCCCAGCCCTGCCCTGGTCAGAGATCTGGTCGGTAAAACTGGTAATGGACGAGGGCTCTGTGAGAAACAAAGCTGTGTCCAAACACATTGAAATAACACGGTGAACTTGCCTCTGCATGGCTACTTGGCTCCAGAGGCTAGCGTAAGCCTGTGATGGGTTTACATGTATTTTCATGGCTACATACTGAATAAATGACTGAATGTGCTTCAGTGTGAGCAGTCCTGCCTGGGCACTTGTCTTCTGTTCAGAAAGGCAGAACAGGGAGCACAAATCCCCATCAGAAAATGTATAATCATAACATAATTTAGGTTGGGAGGGACCTCTGGAGACCATTCCACTCAAAGCAGGGCCAAGTTAAGTTGTTCAGGCCCTGTCTGGCTGAGTTGCGGATATCTCTGTAGGTGGAGATCACACAGGCTGATCAGGTAACTTTTTCCAAAATTTGAGCAGCCTCACTAGGAAGATTTTTTTTTCCTTGTATCTAACTGGAATCTCTTTTGTTGCATCTTGTGTCCATTACCTCTTGTCCTTTTGCTGTGCATCTCAAAGAAGAGTTAGGGTGGAGGAGAGGAGAAACTACAAGAAACCTCCACATATTCCTCCTTTATGGTGTGATCACCTTACAGCTTTGCAAGGCCTTTCAGGCAAGGAATAGCAGCCACCAAAATTGAGTGCGCTTTACTGCTTTTAGCAGGGGAAGATAAACTCTTTGCAACCCTCTAACTACCTTATGGGGTCTGAAGTGAGGAAAGAAGTGGGTGAGCTGTTGTCACATCTCCTATGCAGCAATGGCCAACTCTTGCCATCTTGGCCAGCAGAAATGGTGAGGGAACATCTGCCCCTACTTCTGCATTTGGCAGAGCCTTTCCAGCATTTGACTATCAAGCCTTCAGTAGTTAATGCAAGCCCAACCAAACCGAAGAGCCTGCTCTCTGGGACTCAGACTAGAGGAGGAGTAAGCAGTGCTTTCACATGAGGCAATAAAATTCAAGTAGGATTAATTAAATCATACAAACCATTGCTGGTCTGCACTTTATATTTATCTAAGGAATTGATTAAGCGCTGAGTTTTTTGGTTGATGAGTAAAGCTGATTTAAAAAGTACCAGGATCACAATATATATTCTAGCAGTAGTTTGTCTTTACAGCAGAAGTATATTTATTCAGCTCAAACCTGACTTTTTTTATTTTAGTTGAAATATATGGTAATTCCTTTGCTCTGTTCTATACTCACTGTCTGGTTTTGGTTTTCTGTTTTGCTTCTTACAGCCCCAGCAGAGAGCTCTCCATAAACATTTCCAGCCTCTAAAGCTGCTGTCCTGCCAATTGATATGAAAGTGAACTTTCCTTTGTGAAAAAAAAAAAAACAAACCATAATAAATGGCACTGCCAAAAGGTGACCATGGAAGATTGAAGACAAACTTGAAGTAAAATCAGCCCACTGAAGACGATGCACTCTGGGAAGACCTGGTTTGCTGTGGAGTAAAAATGTGGTGCATAATACCCAGTGCTAATTTGTTGAAAATGGTCATTGACAGACCTTTAGCTGGAAAATTGCTTCCAGTTTTCATCACTGTGCATAACTTTTGAGTTCCCTTTAGGGGACTGTCTATGCCCTTCACTAGAAGTCCTGTTTTAGCATGGCAACTACTGGATTCTTTTACTATGTATGCAGATGGCATGATGTTTTAGGAAAAACTTACAGCAATTCTCCAATCTCAGTGGATATGTTCACAATATTACACTCTGATAGGAATGTAAACGTCTTGTATATGTTAGTTTTGCAGTCTAATGGTATTCTGTTAAATAATATCAGCACTTCATACGTGCTTCCTGCACAGAACTAGCACAGTCCATATATATATAATGGTCTTTTTTTAAAATACTGAGGACAGGTTTCAGTATTTGTGCTGAGACTGCATCCAAACTGAAGTCCACTACTAGCATACCTTCACCGATTCACAGTAGATTGTGTAGATAGATTTGCACGTGGCAGAGGTGTGACTTCTTTTATCGAGACTTAGAGAACAGCTGTCACAGAGGTAGCCAAGAACAGGGTAGGTTGAATGAGCTGTAGGACGCTGTGTCTGTCTGCTCTCCCTCCCATCTGACAAATATCAAAGGTTCTCGTTTCTAGTGTGCTAATGTGTTTTCTTACTCAGCGAGGGAGAGGCAAGGGAGAGAGCCTTTCTCAGAGATGTGTGTGACCCTGGTTTTGGTCTATGATAAAACCAGAGTAAACTGGAAGAATTCAGGTTCTTTATGCTGGCCACCATTTATGTTTTGGGCAGGGCTGGGGAATCATAGTCCAAACCAAACTCTCTGAACAAGGTAAAGTGTAAGACTACACTTCTAAGGAGCAAGACACTCCCTTTAGAGAGGGCAGACTTCATTAACTTTTTCCACTTTCTACCCAAAACAGTATTTTGGTAGGAACTGGGAATAAGCCAATGGTTCCAATAAGCCTTTCAATATACTGTAGCAGGCTCAAGACTGTTGCATTCAATCTGAGCGTTGTTTTTTGTTCAGTCTCTGAATGGCTGGCCTCATCTCTGGCTGTATCACAGCTGGCTGTGGTACTGTTTCTTCCATGGGGACTCAGTGGAATTAGTGTCTGTCCCTCACATCAGGACCTTCTTGACACACTCTTTATAATGAACTGGTGCCATCAACCAACATACTGAGGGGACTTACCTATTTGTTCCTTCTTTCTTTAATATCAAAGGTAACTTTTTGTGTATTTAAAGACCATCACTCTCTCCAGTCTGATAGACAGGTACTATAGAGTCGTCGTTAGCATATATGCCAAACTGTGGGTGAGACGCCATACTGGGGTGAAGATGCAGCGATGGAGAGAACGTGCAGCTACATCAAGTCAAAGGGACCTTTTTAGACGAAGCTCCTGTGTTATAATTCTTAAAAACTATTGTACAGTTCATTGCTAGAGAATGGAAGGTCAACCACTGAGGGTGCCCGGACAACCAACAGATAAATATCGTTAGGACTTAATTTTTTTCAGGTGGGTATGGGCTTAGGTTTCAGACTCCACCCATCTCAGATTCAGCATGTTGGATATTTCTGTAGTATTTAGTCCAAAAGCAAATTATTTTTATTGATGACCAAGATTTTCAGAAGTCGCTAGTGATTTCTAATGGTTTGGGGCTTTCCATGGTTTTCAAATAGAGCTCCCAAGAATTACAAAGCAGTAAGCATCTACATTCTCTTTCTGAAAATCCTGGTCCCTAATTTGAAATTAATTGGTGTAAAAATTCTCCTTAAGACATTAGAATCTTTGCCAATGGCAACATTTGCACTTTTTAGAGCTTTTCATAGGGTTGCAGGTTGGAATCTGATACCAAGAGACCCGGCCGTGCGCATGGCACAGGTCCACTGTAAGCTTCAGCAAATTTTACAGCTCCTTCTGCTACAGGTTTTAAAAATGCGCTCTGGCAACTGACATGAATTTCATGTTGGTACGGCAATTAAAAAAACCCACTTTGATATAAGTTATTTTAAAAAGAAGAATGCTATACTTCTGCAGTAGGAATTCTCTTATTTTACTACCCAGTGAAAAAATCCAGAATAATCTGAATGATAAAAGAAGAGTTTATCAGAGAGCGTTATCTTAAAAGGGCGTACGAGAAGAAGTTGAGTTAGGCAGAGAGCCACTAGAAGCATTTTTTGTATCAATGTTAGTTTTGAACATCTTCCGGTATATGGGCATGAATTTAGATGTGTGCACTTCTCCTGGTAAAACAGTTTGTTTTAAAAGCTTCCCTGGATTTTAGCTATGGTGACCTAGAAAAGCAGTGTTAGAGGCCCTGAGAAATGTGAAAATCAAGTCCCAACCCTTGTGTAGCCAGACTCGGTGAGAAGTCTGCTGTAGGTGCCTATCGGACAAATCTCCTTTGAAGCTGGTGTAGGTCTCCATCCTACAGCCAGCCCGTGCATGTGGATAACTCCAAGCATAGTTCCCCCGAGCCCCGTGACACTTCTCACGTGTGTAACTGTCTGCAAGAGCCATAAGGATATAACTGTACTTTTTGGCTTGTATTTAACTATTCATCGTGTTTGGATTTTTTAATCACTGTTATTCTCCCAAAGTAGGCCATGCTTCCTCAGGGATATTTATGAAATTGTTCTACATCTACCGAACAACTATCTGGATCCCAGCATATTCTTCTGAAAACTTTTTAATATAAATAAACATGTGGGAGAGATTTTTGTTATTATGAATGGGGGCAGGTACTGTGTTCTCGGAAAGGCTATTGAGTGCAGACAATCAAGTCTATTGCATTTTTTATGCCGAACACCTTATTAATAGCAGACACATCCGCTTTTGCCTGGGTCGCAGGAACAGTTCAGGGGAAAGAATGCTTTATCTCTAGTCAATAAATCATTTATGTCGAGAGTGCCAAAGACCAAGTCAACATGAAAGGGAGCGAATAAGTTATTCCGGCAAAGGAAGTGAATTTAAATACGCTCAGAGCCATTAGTTTGGTGCAAAAGAGTAGGAGACAAACGCTATTTTCATAAAAAAGCAATTATCAGCCCTGTGGAGATAGATAAATTCGCAAAGGCCAGTACTGCCGTTATACCGATCACTAGTTATTATCTCTGAAACAAACCAGTATTGCGATCAGGACACCGTTCTCCCTGTGCAGCCCTGCAGCCTCCCTCCCATGCCCAGCGCCTCTCCCTGCCGCCGCGCTCGTCTGGTTTCTTTGTGTTGAGAAAGGCTGAAGCATCAGACCCTGCTAAGAAATGCCGACAGAGACTCAGCCATCCCAAGTGCTTCAAACCCTGAGAAGACCTACACTAGAAACCTGAAGGAATTGCTCACCCCAGAAAACACACTGCAACTGAAAACATTCTTTGCGCTGTTTTGTTCGTTGTTTTTTTCATCTGCGTGGCTTTCCGTGCCTGAACACCCACCATTTATTCTGTTAAGGGAAATGCAGCCTCCAGGAGGGGAGTTTGAAAAAGCTCCCAAACTCTTTGGTTTTGCCCGCCCAGCTGCATGGCGATGCTCTACCGGTGGGTTCATCGCTCCCTGTCTGTTCCTTGGGGTAAGTGCAGTCACTCAACAGCAGCTGCAGCGTCGCTGAGGAAATCAAACTATCAAAAATGACAAAATTCTGGTTTTGTTTTGTCCTGAATTTTTAGAAGACCCCAGGCCAGACCCTGTCAGCCTTACATTGGCGCTACTCCGTCAAAGTCTGCGGAGATGCATTGATTAATGCCAGCCATGGAGCCAGGCCTGGGGTGGGTTTTTTGTCATCACTAAAACTAACCTCCCTCCACCTGCCACAAAGCCACAAGATCTCAGTTATTCAAAACTGTCTCAGGCAAGCAAAGTAAAATCCTGCATCTCTCCCACTGGTCCCCTTTTAACAACTCACATCTCTGCCATCAGAGTCTCCTTGAACGGCCCCGCTGCAGGACTGTGCTGCAGTTGACCCTGGTATATATAGACTGTGGTCAATAAGATTTTAATTTAAAAAGAAAAGGTCCTCTGGTATAATTAAAATTGATGAGTGAGGGGGAAAGGACTACCAGCATTACCTGCAGCCTCCTATAGTAAAATTCAGGAGAGTTACCTGGAATGCAGAAAACCCCACCAAGATAACGTATGGGTGATTAGGCAGCCTCATGAGGATAAATCAGCAAGTAAGAAAAGTAGACGTTTGATGAGGGAAGCCAAAAAATCTATGGGAAGTCAGTGGCCAATAGGCTAGGGCTGGTTACACCAAAGGCTTTACGTATATCCTAATAAATACCGTTGTAGCAAAGCTAAGTCTGATGTTAGACAGGCACAGCACACTGATTACTCACCGTACGTGCAAAAACCAACAAATATTCTTGTTTTGTATTTGAAAGCAGTAGAAGGAGGGAGTCAGATTGCACATTAAAATGTAATTCCTCCTACTCCATCAGTAATTACGGGTAATATTAAGCAGCAACTATCCAAACGTATTTTTAAATTTGTAGAACCATTAACTGAATCCGAAAGTGAAGAAAAAGTTGCCTAGGACTCCTCAGAACTGGAAAGCATAAAAGAAGCTTCAAATGACACCAAAACTCTAATAATTCAAAAGAATGAGTGATTTGACCCTGAAAACTATAGGCTCATTATCTTCCTATCAGTCTTAGGCAAAATCATGGAAAGGTTGATATGGCACAATAGTTAAAGCAATTAAAAATTGATAAAACCCTCCAAATGATTTTTATAGAAATGTATCATGCCAAATAAATTCACTATCATTTTTTGTGATATCAAAGGCTTGTTGATAAAAGAAACTCTGCTGGCATACTATACTTAGCCTCCTGTAGATCATTTGATTCTGATAAAGAACAAAACAGCACAACGTAAAATCAGTATCGCCCATATTAAGTGGATTAAAACTGATTACAGGTTAGATCACAAAAAATAGCTGTAAATATGAAATTATCAGCAAGGACATGAGCTCCTCTCAAGGTATGCTCTATTTTCAATATTCCTCCCAGGGAAAGAGCTGCTGGCAACAGCCAGAGATGACAAAACCAGGGGTGCGGTAAATAATGATATGGAGCAGGTCAGTGGTAGAGAGTAACCCGGAGGACGGCAGCGTCGGAAACCCGGGAGGGATGGCCGCAAGTCCGACTCGGGGAGCACGTCTGGAATAACAGAGCGTCTGTGAAGGCGTATGAAATAACCCCTTCAGCGTCAGCCTGAGGTGCTCTTGCCAGCTGGGATGTGGGCCTTGGCCATAGCAACGCTGTTCCAGTTTGTTCGGTTACTGCCCGACTTTCAAAAAGGGTATCGACAACTTGGAAAGATTGTTTTCAATAGCTCCCAGTGTCACTCAAGAGCAGGAAAACAGGTCTTATTACCGTGTCAGATTAATGAAGCTCAAGCTATTAATTTATCAGAGGCAATTTGAAGAGGTAACTTGATCTCTGTCTGCAATCACAGTCTTCTACCTGGGCAGGGAAGTGCTGTCTGAAGGCAGGTAGCTCTTTTATTTAGACCAAAAGGGAATGATGTGCTCTACTGGTTGGAAACTGATTTCAGGCTGGAAATTAAGTGCAAATGCTCGACAGGGAGGATAATTACCCGTGGAGACAACTTACTTAGTTACCTGGCATGTTCTCCATCGCATAAAGTCTTTAAATGTATGCAGAGTATTTTTCTAAGTCAATAAGCTCTACCTCAAACTGAAATCCAGGCTCAGCGTGGCAATTACTGGATGAGGTTATTAGGCGCG